ATTTCTAATTTTTATACCTACTAGACATTATTCCGCAGTAATGTAAAAAAAGAATTAACCAATTTCTAATTTTTATACCTACTAGACATTATTCCGCAGTAATGTAAAAAAAGAATTAACCAATTTCTAATTTTTATACCTACTAGACACTATTCTGTAGTAATGGAAAAAAAGAATTAACCAATTTATATTTTTTATACCTACTAGAGACTATTCCGCAGTAATGTAAAAAATGAATTAACCAATCTCTAGCTTTTGTACCCACTAGGCACTTTTCTGTAGTAATGAAAAAAAATAATTAACCAATCTCTAGCTTTTATACCTACTATACACTATTCTTTAGCAATGTAAAAAAAAGAATTAACGAAGTTCTAACTTTTAAACCTACTAGATGCTGTTCTCTAACGTTGAGCGAATTTAATTAACAAGGGTTTAGCCCCTCAACCTGCTATATAGATGATTGCTGTTCAGTAGGATTGATTTACTCAAGTAAATTGGATTAATCCAGATGTAACTTTTATACCTACTGTGTGTTATTATTGAACGCTGAATGGGTTCAGTTAATAAAATGTTAACTTTAAAACCTACTATACATTTTCTATACACTAAAATTGAGCGGGTTGAATCAGTGAAGACATACAACTTGAGTACAGCTTGACGCTTTAGTTTCACTCTGCACCAGTTTATCCTCAAGCTAGTTATCTTGTTCTATTTAATGTTTATAAATATATTGAAAACGTAACCGACTTTATAAATTTACTTGCTTTTGTATTTTGCATCTATAGAGTATATATTTTAAATTACGTATATTTGAATTAGTATATATTTTGAATTACGTACACGTGAATTAGTATATATTTTGAATTACGTACACGTGAATTAGTATATATTTTGAAGTACATATATTTGAATGTGTATATATTTTGAATTACATATATTTGAATTAGTATATATTTTAAATTACGTACACATGAATTAGTATATATTTTGAAGTACATATATTTGAATGTGTATATATTTTGAATTACATATAT